CCATTTTTTTTTGTTTGGCCTAACTTGTCCTCACAGTTTGCCTTGTCAAACATCGTACATTGTTGTCCTCACATTTTGCCTCATTATGCATCATACATTGTACTTGTCCTCACATTTTGCCTTGTCATGCATCATACATTGTACTTGTCCTCACATTTTGCCTTGTCATGCATCATACATCGTAATAACTTGTCCTCACATTTATACATTGTAGTAACTTGTCCTCACATTTTGCCTCGTCATACATCATACATTGTAATACATGTAACTTGTCCTCACATTTTGCCTCGTGATACTCATACATTGTAATAACTTGTCCTCATATTTTCTCGTCTCACATCAATGACCCCTGCTCTGTTGCATTAAAAAGGTTTAAATTTGTCGTGGTCTTGGCCAACCCTTGTCTTTGCTGATAAATGTCCACATACATGTAGGCTTGAATTTTCACACTGATCTTTAATTGCATTCTGATTTTATACCTGTTTTGAGCTATATTCACACTGATTTTACACCATTTTTGTATTATTTTCACAATGATCTAGCACCATTTCACACTGATTTGCATGAATTTTGCAGTTTCACACTAATTTTGCATGAGAAAATATTTAGAAAGTTTCTTGAAAAAATGCAGGGGGTATGTGAATTTGTTTCACTTAGCTTCCCGTTCTTTTTTTCAGTGTTAACGAGTTTACATAGCACCTGCAATATTTGGTCAAATAAATGCTGTGTTTAAGATAAATATTAATATAAGGCAAATAGAGGAATGTTTACGCTTGCAATAAATTTACAATAAACTGAAGTACATGGACAGGTACATGTAGGAATCAAATACAGCTTCTCATTTGTTACACTATCACCATTATTACACGTATGTCCTCAAATTTTGTACCTCTCACATTAATTTCAACCCACCAGCTACATGTACATTACAAAACCTCACATTTTGTACTAAAGTGCACATATACATATGCTTTTCTGAACATTTTGATGTCATTGACGTTGCAACACGACATTGACGTGTATATGTTCATTCTTCCTTATAGAAGTTACTTCAAAACTGCACACCTCATTTCATTATTTTTCAGTATGGATGCAACGAAAGAACCAAAGGATCAAACAAATCTCGGTAGGCTTGTGAATCATGGAGAGAAGGGGGAAAGAAACTGCCAAATGAAACAAGTTGAACTCAGTGGTTTACCATTGTTATGCCTCTTTGCGACTCGGCATATACCACCAGGAAGCAAATTGCTGTATGACTATGGACTTCAATGTCATTCAAATTCTCGGAGCCATCATGCCCTTCATCTCACACATCAAAAATCAGCCCTGCTATCGCCAATATTGGACCATCTTTGGAATCACAAGTACCATTGGATCAAGTTGCCTCTGACACATATTGCTGTCCTGATGCTTCCATACCTGGAGCTCAAGCTTGCTTCTCATTGACATCGATAGCAACTCCTTATTCCCGTCCTGCTGCCACAGATTGTCATGCATCGGTTGAGCACGTTCGTCAAGTTGATTCTGACACAAATTGCAGTCCGGGTGGTTCCATCAGCCCAGAAGCTAAATCTTGCTCCTCATTGCAGTCATTGATGGCCACAGCTGATCCTGGTCCTGCTGCCACGGATGATCATGCATCAGTTGAGCACGTTCGTCAAGTTGATTCTGACACAAATTGCAGTCCGGGTGGTTCCAGACCAGAAGCTAAATCTTGCTCCTCATTGCAGTCATTGATGGCCACAGCTGATCCTGGTCCTGCTGCCACAGATTGTCATGCATCAGTTGAGCACGTTCGTCAAGTTGATTCTGACACAAATTGCAGTCCGGGTGGTTCCAGCCCAGAAGCTAAATCTTGCTCCTCATTGCAGTCATTGATGGCCACAGCTGATCCTGGTCCTGCTGCCACGGATGATCATGCATCAGTTGAGCACGTTCGTCAAGTTCATTCTGACACAAATTGCAGTCTGGTTGGTTCCAAACCTGAAGCTCAATCTTGCTCCTCATTGCAGTCATTGATGGCCACAGCTGATCCTGGTCCTGCTGCCACAGATTGTCATGCATCAGTTGATCATGCTCATCATGTTGATTCTGATACAAGTTGCAGTCCTGGTGATACCAGTACTGGGGCTCAAGGATGTCACGGTCCTTTATTGACATTGGTGGCATCGACTAATCCCAGTCTTACTGCCACAAATTGTCATGCATCAGTTGAGCAGGTCGATCGAGTTGCCTTTGACAAAAAATGCCGTTTTGACATTTCTAGCGGTGAATATCAAGCTTGCTCCTTATTGACATTGCTGGCCACAGATGATCCCAGTCCCACCAGTACTGCCAAAGATCGCCATGCATCAGCTGAGCAGATTCAACAAGTTGACTTTGACACAAATTGCAGCTATGACAATACCTGCCTTAAAGCTAAAGCTTGTCCCCCATTGATAACATTGACAGCCACCACTGATCCTAGTCCTACTGTCATAGGTTGTCACACAACAGTTCAGCTGGATTGTGAAGTTGACTCTGATGCAACTTGCATTCCTGACAATTTTAACCCTGAAGCTCAACCTTGCCTGTCATTGCAGTCACTGATGAGCACAGCTGAGCCTAGTCCTGTCGTCACAGATTGTCATGCATCAGATGAGTCAGTTTGTCAAGTCTACTCTGACACAAATTGCGGTCCTGTTGATTCCAGCCCTGAAGATCAAGCTTGTTCTCTTTTGCAGTCGTTGATGGCCGCAGCTGATGTTAGTCATCCTCCCACGACTTTTCATGACTCAGTGGGGATGGTTGTATCAGTTAGTCAAGTTGACTCTTGCTCCAATAGTGTTTGTGCTACAACTTGCCTGTCAACAGTGTTTAATCTTAGTTCTAATTGTCAAACATTAAGACAGTCCTCATCTTCCTCTGTGTTGATGGATGAATTTAACTGTAGTGATATCAGTCCTACCAGCACAGGATGCATGAAAATGAAGAATGTGAGGCTGCCTGAATGTGAAACTACATGTACTTGTACACTTCCAAGCTGCACTTCGCCTGTCTTAAAATGGGTTTCTTGCAAACCTATTCCTGCAGTTATACCCATTTCATTGCTGCATCAAGGCAAATCTCTTGAAGTTGCTCGTAGCTGTTTCACTTCAATAGTGCTGCGGGGGGATCTTGTTGCCACTAGTAGTACCACTGCAAGATTTGTGGATACTGTTAGCACTACAGCAGTGCTGCCTGTCAGTGACTCTCCCCTTACAAAAGACTGCGTTTCGTTATGCGACATTGTTCCAACAAGAAATCTTGCATCAGCTCCTTCAGGTGAATTAAACTGTAGTCTACCTTCTGGTGGTTCCAACTCTGTTTCCGGAAGTGGAGAAGTAGCTATCACATCTTTAGTTTGCTCTAACTCATCTAGTCCTGCCACATGCAGCTTTGTATCACATGTGCCTTCAAGTGACTTCCACTGCAGTGATCATGATTCCGACTCGGATTATGTCCCTGAGTCAGAATCTTCAACTGGCGGGGACTCCAATACAGGTGATATTGCTGTTCCAGCTTCCAGACCTCCGACAAGGGCCAATATGGACTTACAGGGATGTGTACAGATGACTAAGGTTAAACCAGGAGGTAAGCGAGTATGGAATAAGGTCGACTATTGCTTGTACTGTGGCATAAAGCAGGCAAAAGTTGCCAGACACTGCCTTCTCAGACATGAAGATAAGGTGATGGTGAAAGAAATACAAGCCCTTGAACTGAAGTCATTGGAGAGAAGAGAAAAGATCACTGAATTGCGTAACAAGGGCAACTTTCATCACAACCTTCTTGTGTGGCAGTCAGGAACAGGTGAAATAGTTCCACGGAAGCGTCCCATTGAAGATGAAGCAGCCTCTAATTATCTTCCATGTGAATTCTGTCAGGGTTGCTTCAAAAGGGAAGGCCTGTGGAAGCATCAAATTAAGTGCGCTCAGAAAAACAAAGTGACGAAGAAGAAACGGATCCAATCAATGGCCAAGATGATGATACCCAGTTTAACCGGCACGGTGTCTGAAAGCCTCAAGAAAAATGTCATAAGCCGAATGCGTGCAGACGACGTGACAAGTGTGGTGCGAAGAGACCCACACATTTTAAATTTTGGTACAAAGATGATCCGAGACCATCCAGAAGCGCACCAGGCACTCCCAATATCACAGAATATGAGGGACCTTGCGAAATTAGTTGTAGCTACCAGTAGGGTCGACAGGTCTGTGACATCAATCAGAGACTGCTTGAATCCTCAGAAATTTGACACTCTTGTTGATGCAGTGAAGGTCACAGCTGGGTATTGTGCTGACACCAATACTTACAAAACTCCATCCTTTGCAAGAAATATTGGATACAGCATCGATAAGGTTGCAGCTTCAGGAAAGTCATCCTCAATCAAATCGGAAAATACCGAATTGTTTGAGGCAATAAGCAACTTCCAGCAATTGAAGAATGCCGAGTGTACCTCGGAGGTGGTTACTTTGGCTCGTCACAACTTGGACAGTAGAAAACTCAACAAACCACATCAGACATCAAGAAGCTAACCACATACCTCAAGAGCGCCACGCAAAAGCACAAGCAACAACTTCAACTTGATCCTTCCTCAACAGCAGACTGGATGGAGCTGTGCCATTCTCTTTTGGCTCACGTTGTTCTTTTCAACCGGAGGCGCAGTGGAGAAACAGAACGTCTCCTTCTTGGTGCATATGAAAAGGTGGAGACAAACAGAGATCTTCAACCCGAAGTGTTCAACAGCTTAGGTGAGGTCGAGAAAGTCCTCGTTCAGAAACTGAAAAGAATCGAAGTGAGGGGAAAACGTGGGAGAAAAGTCCCAATCCTCTTGACCAGAGAAATGGTAGAAAGCATTGATTTTCTCAATGCTGCCAGGTCCTCAGCTGGAATTTCACCCAACAATCCATATGTTTTTGGGCGAGCCTTTTGCGACTCAACTCTCCCTACAAAGGCAAGTGAATGCTTGAGAAAATTTGCAGTGCTGTGTAGGGCTGAGCAGCCTTCAACCTTGAGATCTACAAAGTTGAGGAAACACATCGCCACAATGTCCCAACTACTGTCCCTCAAGGAGAATGAACTGGACATGTTGGCTGGCTACATGGGGCATGATGTGCGAATTCACCGAGAGTTTTATCGCTTGCCTGAAAATACTTTGCAACTGGCCAAGGTGTCCAAGGTTCTCATCATGATGGAAAAAGGCGAGACAGCAAAGTTCAAAGGAAAATCCCTAGACGACATTGATATCGCACTTGATGATGGTAAGTTTTAAAGTTCATAACAAACTATTCAAAATTTTTGGTGCATGCTAGAGCAGTTGCACTCCATACGATCAATGACGAAACTATGATCGGACTGATTTTTAGTCGTATCTTTAGGCTTGTGATGGTGTTTAACCAATGCCCCCCATAGCATTGTGTTTCTTGACCAGCCCTCGGCTCATTGCTAAGGATTGAACATGTGAATTCCTTGCGATTAACTAGTCTGCAAAATTAAAGTCAGCAGCAGGCTTTTGTGCCTAGAATTGTTAGATTTTCTTAATGATAAAAGCGAGCTCAACATATCAATATTCAAGCTATGCCATTGGATTTCCTTTGTGTGCCTTCAATGTTTATTCTAAGAAAAGACAGTATTACCTTTCTTTTCAATGGGTATTTTTCTATGTTTGTGGTAGTTTTTATAGTTTGAACAGTGTGTGCACTTGGTAATGGTACCTGTGCGTCTCATTAATTAGATGTAGATCCTGCCGTTTTCCTAACCTTGCCTTCTTACAGTGCATGTAATTCTTTTATCCAACAAGCCCAAATGTACCATAAATAAGGAGATCTATATATAACTGATTGATTTTCACTTTGGTTTACAGTTGACAGTGATTCTTCAGAGCCTGACACACGTAAAGAGGAAAGAGAGAGGCCAATGCCAGAAGGTGCGCTAAAGTTTAAATAGCACAAAAACGATCAAATAGTATGCGCTTAAGCAGAAATGCATGCTTAATGGTGTTTATGAAATGAAAAATCGCCGGCAAGCACTTGCATATAAGCAGAAAAGGTGTCTCTTAACAGCTTCATGAAATTGGCCCCGATTGATTTTGACTTTGGTTTACAGGTGACCGTGAATATGTGGAACCTGATGAAGAAGGACAGAGACCAACCCCAGAAGGTGAGCTAAAATATAAAATATATGTATGAAAACTATGAAAGCCCATTAGTGCCAACCATTTTTTTTTTCAATATTAACTCCGTAATTATGGAATCCGTAATGAGGGATTGCGAATCTCTAATAACAGATCTGGAACCCGTAACTATGGATTTGAAAAAGAAAAAACTGTTGGCACTCATGGGTTTTCGTAGAAAACTTAATATCTGAACTGTAGGTCCATTTCTGTGTTCATGCGAATTTGTGTCACATATACAGGATCTAGAAAATAATGCTGACCACTGGCATGCAATAAGAACTAAGCGCTGATGCCTTTTGTACATGGTGTCATAGAGTTTAATAATTATTATTCATAAATACCTTAGACGGTTTGGCCATTCACATTGGTACACAGCGGGTGGTTTTAAACGGCTGATAAAACTACCAACTGGTACTTTAAACGTTGTTTAAAACCGGCAGGCGAAAAAACAATGGACCTGCGCTCAGCAAATAAAAACACGTAAGAACATGCAGCCAGTACTCTTACTGAACCCTGTGAGTGAAGCCAAACCATTTTGAGTAGTGTTGCCAAGTCTGTACGCCCACTTGAACTCCGATTTATAAGTCCCAATATACATGTTCAAGTTGGACTCCAAACTGACGTTTATGAGGTCAGTATTCAAGTTAGCCAAATACTGAATTTTAACCCCAATATGGTACCGAAAAGATAGCAGGCGCAGTTTCTCTGTTTTTCATTCTAAAACTCAAAGAGGTGTTACCTGAAATAACAGGCTATAGGAAGCGATAAAACATGAAGAAAAATCAAAAGGAGAGTCTCTGCAACTACAGAAATGCCGCAGTTTTGACATCAACATGCGACTTCTGTGCACAGATTATGATGGCAGACATAACTCAAATTAACTCCAACTCAACTGATTAAACTGGTGGCATTTGGATTTCTTTAGGCAATAACCGTAAGTGCATTTCTTTACTGATCTTGAGCTGGTCTCGGCCCAAAATTCTGTGAACAGTAGGTGCGAGACCAAGACCAGCATTTTTCCGAGACCATGAATAGTCGAGACTGAGAACACCTTCAAACTGGTGTCGAGACCAAGATTGGTCTTGACGGCTACAACACTGGTCAAACCTTTCCCCACACAGGACAGGATCTATTGCCGCACTATTGATTTCACCACCTGTAAGCTGTGCTTGCTCATCATTCATGCATGTCTTAGCATTCAAGAAGGTCGTAGAAACCATACAAGTTGGCAGAGGCTATCAAAGCTCATGTCAGGTCCTCAAGTTTTTTGTACTATTTCAACATTTTTGAATTACGTTTAAATTTAGCAATGCCATGGATGAGCTTCGGTGTGCTCTGAATACTTTAAAAAAATACATTATATTGCTTTATAATAGGTTTGTTTCAGTTGCAGTCCTTCATTTTTGAGGAGCGCGATCGCGCAGGCGCTCCTACCGTGCTCCTTATCAAAACCGAGGAGCGTAAAAATATGCGCTCTTCGAAAGATTGAAGAGAACTTTTAAATTTCTAATATTACAGGAAACGGAGGAATAAGCTTCCAAACCACGGTGTGATTAGTTAAATCCCGTACATTCCAACACTTGAACACTTTTGAAATGAATGGAACGAAAATACGCAGAACAACTCTGCTCCCAGTAAAGTCAGCTGGAGAGATATTATGCCGCTTTTTATTGGTCGGTAGTAAGTGGTCGGTATTTTCCAAACCTTGCATTCTTACTTCAGCTACATGTAATCCTATCCCACAAGCCCTAGTCTACCATAAATGAGAAGATATAGCTGGGGCCAATTTCATAAACCTTTTACCTTAAGCAAATTTTCGTGCTAAAAGAAACAAGAAATTTTGCTTTAAAAGCGTAAGCGTATTTCGCAACTGAATTCAGTTGAATCAGTTCAGTTTTTTACAGAGGAATGTGCGCAAATAAGCGAAGTACTTCAAGGACTTTATTTCTGCACACATGCAACAGGTCTTCTTACACGTAATCGAAAATGATTTTATTTAAATGCAAACTGCCAGTTTAAAGCAAACTGCCAAACGAGCGTTAAAATCACAGGGGAAAAAAATTGCTTTTGCCAGTTATTGACACAACTCATAATTTGGAATTCTGACCAAGAATATCGCCATAGAAGAGACAACCATGACAATACTGTTAGACTATAGTGCACTAGAGTGATTTTGAAGGACATCCGCCAATCGCTGCCGCGCTGACAGCTTTCAGTTTTAGTTTCCATGAAGATCTAAACAAAAATGGTGGCCCTTAGTACAAAAACGGTCAGTTAGCATAAGCGCTTAACTTGAAAATGCATGTTTTGTGGTGTTTATGAAATGAAAAATCGTCGGCAAGCACTTGCTTAAGCAGAAAAGGTGTGTCTAAACAGCTTCATGAAATTGGCCCCTGATTGATTTTGACTTTGGTTTACAGGTGACCGTGATAATGTGGAACCTGATGAAGAAGGACAGAGACCAACCCCAGAAGGTGAGCTAAAATATAAAATATGCAGGTACCAGAGTATGAAAACTGATTAAATATCTGAGCTGTGTGCCCATTTCATTATGCTTGTAACTGGTAGGTAATAAGAACTGACTGCCGATGCCCTTTGCACATGCGATGGTGTACAATTTGTAGAAACAATACATTGCTTTAGCTGCCAATCAAGAACGAACCTTGCAGATTTCCCAAGGAGATGTTGGTAGAGGACTTAACGCTTCACCTATCTGATTTGAAGAGCCCATTCACCACAGATTTTTACAGTACTTGCAGTTCATCTTTTGCTTAATGGCATTTAGCTGAATCCTCTGTATAGAAGCTGCCATTGATGGTTTGCCAGTATTTGAACTAAATAATTACAGGTCCCTTTTAGGTTTTCTGTACAACCAGTAGGTACATGAAGGTGTGATGGTTAGACATTAAAAAATTTAGCTACATGTATTTCCCAATTTGTTTCAGTGCACCTCATCAGAAGGCATGGTTTGCCCATTACAGTCATCAGCTTCTTGGATTGTCCATGAGCAATAGTCAAACAACTACTTAGGAATGCTTTTGAATGAAGTCTTCTACAATTTTGAATGGCGGTTATAAAAGCTCAGTCTCTTGTGTCACAAAGATAGAGTAGGTCCAGGTTCATGATAATGTGGTACGTGTGATATTAGCAACTTACATGTACTTACCAGCTATGTGCGCATCGTATATGTATTTAATTTAGTTGTGTGTCACTACTGTGAATTGATCTGTGTCATATCAAATAGATCAGTTAGTTTGCCTCTGCTTCACTTTGCAGAAGTTTTTGCTGTTAATATGAAGCCACTGACTTTTCTACATACATGTAATTACATGGTGAGTCAATAAAAACGCATTTTTTTCTTCAAATATTTCCACTAGAAAAATGTGAAGGGCAAATATTTTTTTTCAAGCCTATAACATTGATACAGGCTTTGGCTAGAACACATTCCAATGGTATTAATATGCGACCATGCATGGCCATGACAGAGCTCATTGTTTAGTAGCACCTAGAAACTCCAGCTGAACAGAGTTTTGATAAGGTGACTGGTAAAGGTTGAAGTGACTGCATTAGACTGTTAATGAAAATGAAAATATGACCTACTTACCATGCACTGCTTCACATCTGACCCTGTTTACAGTCCGGCATTGCATCCCTCTACCTGATTTCCCCCCAGATCAATGCACAACAGTGTGCCCGTCTCTGCATATCACTGAAACTCTGTTCAGCTGGAGTTTCTGGGTGCTATTAAACAATGAGCTCTGTCATGGTCATGCATGGTTGCATATTAACACCATTGGAATCTGTTCTAGCCAAAGCCAGTATCAATGTTATAGGCTTGAAAAAAATTATTTGCCCTTCACATTTTTCCATAGGAAATATTTGAAGAAAAAATGCGTTTTTGACTCACCCTGTACATGCACATGTAATGTACCATTTGATATGATACATAGCAAATTTATGAAAAGTTAGTGCTCTTCTTTTGCACTGCGATTAGGTATTGTTGTGTACTTCAATGTATATAGGATGAAATTTGAAATCATCAAAGAGGAGTTAGAAGTATACTGTATTTTTTTACTGGTTGTAATCACTTTTGAATATTGATAACAGTTTATTGTAATGTATAAATCATTTTGTCTGTTATTTGTTTAGCTGTAGTTGATCTACCTTCAACTAATTGCAGCAAAGATAGGCACAAGCACCCTCATCAACCCCATGCCAAGAAGAAGCAACAAAGCTGTGGTAAGTGTAAGCTATACATTTTGTGATTAAAAAAGGTTTCTGACAAATATAAATGGACTGAAAGAAAATGGGTTTGGATAAAGATCTAGTGGTATCCTTTCCGTCCAAAGTGCCATTCATTTCTGTGCTACAGAGCCTGAAAGATGACCTCTAGTGGCGTGCAGCCAAAACCTTGATGTGGATTTTATATTGGGTTGTCAATCTTACATCCGATCTTTGAAGACTTGTATCGCAACATAAAATATGAACAATAGGATTTCAGCTTAGTTTTCATAATACAAAGATTACTGGTAAAATACAGAAATGTATGAAGTATTAGTTCTGACCTATCACTTGTCCCCAGGTCAGACACTAGCTTGTCTAATTCTTTACACTTCACTAATTTGTGTGAAAATGAAGACTTACAAATCTTGTCCTCAACAGATGCATGTAGGTGTAGGTTATGGAGTAAGCGGTGCATTCGGAATAAACTAAGTGATTTAATATGTCCCCATGATCGTTACCCAAAAGGAAAACTTACCTACAGGCAAAACAAATCACCATCTCTTTCAATATAATACTAAACTATATTTTTTCAGGAGCTGAAAGGCACCTACTTACCACATACCTGGGTACAAGTGAGAGGTCTTTTTCCCATTTACATAATGTACCAGTGTCTTTTCAACGATTGTATTTTATGAGAAAGTTTGTATTTCATATATTACCCGGCACAATTAAATGATGCTTATTGAGATAAAGATAAACGTTGAAAATGATAAAACTTCATCATGTAAATGGGTCAGATTATAGCACACATGAGTAGGTATATTAAGAATTAAGATGTGCTTTTCTGAGCAACAAAAGGATTTCATTTTTCGTTACCCATCATACCTATTTTTGCATGTAAAACAGTTTTGCCGATGCCACAATAAGCCTCATGTATGTGTACTTGGGTATAGTGGTTAAGCTGAAATGTAAGACTGTAAAAAATCTAAACAGATGCGTGATTGACAACCCTATGTTAATTAGTCCCCAACTGGAAGCTCGCAGTGTGACCTTTAACTTGCAAGCTCTATTTCCATCTACTCATCATACATGTACATGTTATATCCAACTTTTGTATGGGGTACATGTATGCATTTTAGATTGATCGAATTGTGTTCATCTCAAATAAACATTTAGAAAAGAACATAGAGGGCTTGTTGGGATGTATCTATTGCAAAGCGAAAGCACTTCTAAAGGCATGTTATGACAAAATACTTGTTTTGACAGCCACCTAATGAAGTAATGGGGTATTTTGTTTGGAGTACATGTAGTAAACATGGCATTCAAATAGTAGCCAGTTGCATTGAATTTACTGGTTATGTATGAGAACCTACATGTAGGGCCAAGTTTCAAGTGCTATGCAGTCACTGAATACATCATCAATTACCCGTTAATTGTCTGGGCATAGATTAGGAATGGGCGTTGAGCATTACAGTTGCAGTGAGGATGTGGGAAGGGCGCATACATGTAGCTCAAACTATTGGTTGGGTATTTCAGAAGCACAAGAGAAGAGGGAATTTTGTGAGTAAGTAGCATTTCACCTGTTATGAAGATGGGTTTGAATGGCATACCTTCCATTTCCGATAAATAGAAAGAACCAGAACTGTGTTTTATGTAATGTCCATATTATAATTCTTACATGTACTTACCAACCATCTGCAGTTCCACCATCGAGAAAAAAACAAAAGACATGTCTGCCATGGGAGACAGATGAGAAGGATTTCATTTCCAGCTTTTTTGCGGATAATTTCTGTTCTGGGAAGCCTCTGCGAAAAGTTGATTGCTTAAAAGCTCAAGACAATCATCCAGCCTTGAAGAGAAGGCACTGGTCCCACATCAAGGATTACGTTATCGCTGAGACCAAGCGCAGGAGAAGGGATGCATCAAAGCACTAAATATAACAAGCTAGGTAAAACCCACCTCTTCACCTGTCGTTTCTGAAAACACCTAATTATGCTTTTTTCTGTACTTTGTGATACATGTAGTGGTCCTTGGCTTTAATTATAGAAAAGTCAATCAGACATAAACCCCAAATATGTCACTTAAATCCAAATGACAATCATTAGCACATGTATCATTATGTAGCCCAACACCTATTTTTGGTCATTAATTCAGATCAGATCATGGATCACTTGATGATATCCACTAAAGCATATCAGTTGAAGAAGTCCTAGTTGGCCCAGGATACATGTATGTGACCTCCATGAAAAAACTCCAGATGTCACTTGCCATGTTTATGAGATGCTGGTAGTTAAATATGGAGCCCAGGATGGGGTGAGGGGATTTGATTTTTCATCTTTGTGAGTGATTTTGTGAATTAGTTTTCATTTCATATATAAATGTGTCGTTGGCTACATCGTGTTGCAAGTTTAAGAATATTAGTTTAATTATATGACATATTTGGGAAATGTTTGAAACAAGTTATAAATATTGAAGAAAATGGACAAAAAGAGCTGGTTGACAACTCCTTAGCTTTGTGTATAAACATGTATACTTAGAGTGCTTTTGAACTTGCAAGATGTTCGTCCAACCATGAAGAGGAAACACTTCGGTTATTCAGTTTCAGATCCAGTGGGAGAATATTTTTCACCACTGTATCTCAGATTTTGATGTGTAAATTTTTAAATTTAATTTTTAAATAAAATTTTTAATTTTAAAATCAGAATCTGCAATGAGTTTTGTGACACACAAAAGTCACAAAGTCAAAGACAAACACTCACTTCTGGAGACATGACTTGGCCCTCTATTTCAAACACTTGACTTAATTATTTCATTAAGTTGCAAGAATCACATGTTATCTCCCACCACAAGCACATGCAACAAACATGTGAGAATGGAGAGATGGGCAATTTTGTTTCTAAATTACGTCTCAATTTTGCTTTTCTATGTGCCAAGCCTATGACGTTTTTGGCCCGCATTGGGATATATCACTCTTCCTTTTTTTCATACCTGTTTAAACTGATGTAAAATAGCATACCAAGCTTATGGCTACAGCATTATGAAAATGTGTCAAGAGTTTCCTTTGGGGGGGGCGGCAGTGAGACAGGTACCCCTGAAACTAAGTTTTCAATGTAATATTCTTTTATTTTAGTACATGAAACTGTGTTTTGGATGAGTTATTTACATAAGACTGGGGAGGGGGTGGGTAGGGTGATGGGGGAGGGGGAGAGTAGGGTGGGGGGAGGGGGATCACAGAAAGAGCTGAGGCCCAAAATCAAGTGGCTGCTATTTGTAGGGAAAGGGAATGACCCCTGAAAATTGGAAATCGTTGCTCTCATACATTTTACCAACGATATAGACAATATATCAGTGAAATCTGACATCTGTGATGGTGCAGTTTGGCCCCCCTGTTTGATTTACATGTAAGATGGACTGGTCCTATGGCAGAGATTGAAAACAAGCTCAGGAGAAGGGACGTATGAAAGCACTAACAATGACCTCATTGCAGTACATGAACACATATCAGCACCATGTGATCTTTGAATGAACTGGCATATATTTCAGGGTGTACTTTCTATGTACACATATTGCGTCTGGTTTGATGGGACGAATTATAAAAAGAGTTTAACAATCAAACCACGAGTATATCATGTGAGTTAAACTGAAAATCTCCAGATCAGTGTCATTAGGCACCCTAGCATCTTCTCTTTGCAATGATAGGCTGTGTCCAAATGACTTGGCTTTGGTTTGATATTATACACGAGTCTATGAGAAGTGGCTGCAGCTGCTACATACGACAGATTTATGCATAATATCAAGCCACATTAAAAATTCTGACACGGCCTTAGGTCATGGCTCAGCAGGCTTTATTGTCCACCAAAGACATGTCAAACCTGAGCTGGTTGGTGCAGGATATGACCAAACTCTTATTCGAAATTAACGTTGAGCAAATGTAATTGAAAAAGATAATGTAAACATCAATATGTCGGGAATGTACAGATCAGTATCCGTAACCTGATTTGGTTAATGATTTTTCATTTCAGATATCTAAGGCTGCCTAATGATACTACATGTAATTCAATTAATATCTGACATGATTTGGCATTTTTGTGAAATTAGTCATAAGTAATGCAGAGAATCGATAAAAATTGTTTGACAGGTTTTTATATTTGTAATGGATATTATCAGTGTAGAAACGACAGTTTTCTGATATATTTTCAGCAACACCATGTCTTTGAATGTTGTAAGGTTTTTCACTTTCTTGCCTCAGCTTTGTGGTACTTAATAACCGCTAAAGAGTAATGACTTCAAAATGAAGTTAAACTGAAACTTAGAGTCATATTTTTTTTAAGGAAGAAGCAACTAAAAATTTTCATCTGTTTTTTGCCCTTTCATGTGTTGTGTGGCGTGGAGCCACTGAGGTTTTATAGTGTTTATGGTACATGTTAATAGTTTTCAGCAATGTTATTGTTCAGTACCGAGAAAAATGTTTCGGGTTTCTTGTTGATGCTGTATGTAGACCAGCGCTGATGGTGGCTACATGTTAACATTTATTTGGAGGCTCAAATTTGTCATCCCTTCTCCCCATCATAAAAAAGTGACCATGTAAACAAACAAGATGCTATCATTGCATGTGTCCATTGAAATCCATGCAAAAGTATACACATATGGACTGGCAATGAGGTCAATAGTGCGAGTCTATGCACCCGAGGGACTGTGTGAGTGACCGGAAGAGGGTCCTATTTCCCGAGGCCGAAGCCCGAGGGGTGCATAGACGTGCACTATTGACGTAATTATGGCAGTCAATGTGTTTTAGAACACACCTCACTCCAAAAAAGTCGATTGTTGTGTCTAGGCCTACTTTTTCACAATACGACTTCAGAACGTTCACAGAGTAGTTAATTTGTTTGTTTGTCCTCTGCGAGTCCTGAATTGCAAAGGATTAAATCGTCAGTTTCTTCCTCAGAAGGGTAAATCGATATTTTCTGGTAACTGTTTCATCACTTTCGGATACGTCCGCCGCCAGTTTGAGCTGGATGAATGATGATATTTGGCAACCTGTAAGGGCGCGCTTTGTACTGGCTGTCAGTTTGACGTCATCCCTCCGACTAGTCTGCCGCGACAACAGTGCACATCTGTGCACCCCTCAGGCCTGTCAGTGACCAGAAAAGAGTGCTATTTCCCGAGGTCAAGGGAAATAGGACCCTCTTCTGGTCACTCACAGTCCTTCGGGATGCATAGACTGCACCAGTGGCCTCATTGCCAGTGTATATTACCTCCCCTCGGTATTGGGAGTTGACAAACTAGTTCCTGAAGTGAAGCAAAGGGAACTAGTTTGTCAACTCCCAATACCGAGGGGGAACTAACAACAACTATCTAACTGAAATTTTGTTTACTATTCCTCATACATTTTTATTTAATAACCTCTGAAAATATAAACAACATCATGATTAAATTGTTTTCACAAACTTTCATTTTGTTCCTGACTTCAAAAGACAAACATGTCACCTGCTTTTGATTTACAAATGATTGAATTTACTGACAAGAATGCATGCTGATGAAACCCCTCTATCTTGGTTCATTTCATGGATGGAGTTTCAATTATCGGAGGTGTACCCGAGCAAGAACATGTACTAACACCAGCCTGGACAGAAATGTTAGGCAAAGTGCAGAAAAAACCACTGGAATGTGAAGCTTCCCTTTGTGGGAGTATTTGGTGTTTTTTTATTCACATGTCTAAAGTACAATGTGGTAAACTGAGGTATTAAGTGTCAGGCAATTCCTTGCAAGGAAAAGTGATGAAAATGCTGGAGTAACCTCTTATATTTAAAGTAATTTTATTTGCCCATTGTAGGTGCAGTTGTTTTAATCAGGAGCCAGTGGCATTTTCCCGTCAGAAATGTGTAACAGCTCTAATTACTGGTACTTGAGGGGTAATTGTAAAATGATTAATGCCACATATAGGATAGGAAACAAGGATGCATGTACATTAATTTGTGTTTTGCTCACTGCTGGGAACAGGGAGGTGATTGATTACTCAGAAATACCGAGTATAATGATAACAAAATTTAATGTAGTCAAATAGTGATCCTACATGCACTGTCATGCAACTTCATGTACTGGAAAATGAAATGACCCTCCTCCAAGATTCTTCTTTTTAAACCGCTGTCCCAAACATTAATTGTGAAACTCAGACTTTTTCAGATGACATAGTGGTAACTATAAATAATCAGATTTTTCTGAAAGTGTTGAGTGAGTGGCAGTGAAAGGCCTGTGTCTAATGTTTGCGTTTGAATTCAAATGATACTCTCTTCAATAATTTGACAACAAAACTTCTTTTGGGGGCTTAAACCACTTCCAGCCGAGCCCGATATGGCTGTTCGTATCAGTCCTCCGGGTGATTTTGCAAAATCGACCATTTTCATGTTGTTTTTGGCCCGGCACTGGACACCCGGCCACATGTTACGATCAACCAAGTCCCTTACCGGGTCCCCAGCTGGAAGTGGTTAAAGAGGGTTGGTAGAACCTTGATTTTTTTTTACACCTTATTTCATTATTGAAAGTGTTAATTACCTTACTGGGAAATACCAGTGATTTCTTAGTAATTTATCAGAGTATTGCGTCAAGTTGTCCTTGATAAGGCATGGTTGACTAATATACCGGTACATTCACTGGATTATGTTAATGCTTATCATGAAATGCCTGTACATTGATGTTATAGTATGACCATCATTAAAATGACCTTTGCTTGACTGTTGAAACACCATTAATTGCCCATTAGCTGCCATGCTGTGACATCTTTTGGATCTTTGATGCTAGGCTACACCATCTCATCAATTACTGTATGAAATGTTTAACAAATACAAGCTTATAACTCTAGCTGGGGTTTTGTGCAGTCTAATTCTATTTCTACTGAAATGTGTTGTCATATGCAATTTTCTGTGAATTTGACAGAATTTAAAATGCATTTTTCTTAAGCTTGCTGCATTCCAAAATAACACCTTCTTGCCAAAAAGTGTATTTTCATTGTGTGAAGATGTGATGACTTCATTGAAAATTCGATATTTGGAAAGAATTGTTAAAACTGGTTTTGAAATATTGTATACAGAGATAATGTGGCAGGGGAAGGTGTCATATTGTGTACGGCTGTTTTTCCAATTGTACCCAGCCCTTGATACTGCTGTAGGCCTGTCTGGTTGATAAGTGATTTTGTAATACATGTACCATACGTGCAAGCCTCTCATTAGGTAATCATGCAAGGTGCATGCTAAGTTCCAGTTCCAAATATGTTCAACTTTATGGGCACAGGATTTTAACTGACATCACTTATGAACTGGATTATCAGAATTTCTCACTCAACCTCCACCCACATTACATGTACATATGCAGTTTCTATGCTCATATCTTTGCATTATTTTGATTATAGCAACTAGTAGCACTTAACCATCACATAACTCCACTTTGAACAGAGACATGTACAAGTAATTGGGCAAGGTGAGAAAAAATTGGCTGGATTTAAAATTGCCACTCATCACAAAGTAAAACCCTCCTGTTCAGAAGTTTTAGTCATTTTTAACCGAGGGTTTATGTGAAAACCTGATTTCAAACTGTGCTGTTTGACAAGAATTTCTAATTTGTTAAAAATTTTGCAGCTCATTGGAATTTGAAATAAAGTTTGAAAACCTTTGTTGAAATTTTCGACAGGCTTGTTAATCTGCAGTGCAGTTGTGTGTTCTATTGGCTTGATGTGAGTTATGGTGTTGAACCTATGGTAGAATGAAACAGCGTTTGGGATGTTAAAGCTCAGTGGGTGCTAACCATTATTAGATAATTGTTATTTCAAGCATTTGTGCACAGTTCAAGACAGCATTGAAAAATGTTTGTTTTGCCTATTGTGTAGTTTGAAAAACATGAAAAATGACAGTAGGCTGGATGAAGTTTTTATTTGGATGGCCAAGAGAATCCCCTGAATGCTCGGGCATATAGATATGGACCATTATCGCTCTGCAGCCTGGTCTAGTTTCCCTGACTGTAAGAAAAGCTGCAGTGTCAAGGTCTAAATATTGAATCCGTGCCCAGCGTACATTATTCTGCCAGCCTCGTCTTGGCTCTGTAGACTCTGTGACAAATTCAAGATGGCTGCATGGTGATAAATGTCTATAGGAGACTGGTGATGGGAGGGGTG